ACTGATGTGACCCCACCACACCTTTTTTTCCAAATGAAGTTATTTATTTATTTATTTATTTTGCATTTTTATAGGTATAATGCAAGTGCACAACTCTTACTAAAATGCACAGTCAGTTTAAAAAGGGCTCTTGGGCACTCCCAGGCATAGGCTAAGATAACAATCAGCCATGCAAACACTTTGCATGTAGCTTCAGCATTCCTTGTGAAAATGCCGCTGGCAACGCAAGCTGGAATGTGAAATGCCCGCATGCTCTTGGTGAAGCCATTTCTTTTGAGGCAAAGCTTTCCATGTGTATTGGCTCGAGGCAGGTCGCTTGGAAGAATGTGGTCCCTGGGTGTGAAGGGCAAAGCGCCCCCTGTGGTAGGAGTCCTGGTGGGTTTAACAGGCAGAGTCAACAGGCAATAACTGTAATGAATGTTCGGCCAATCTGTCCTCCTTCTAGGGGCAGGAAGCAAAGTGCCATTCCCCCCATTGCACATGGTGGTAGCACCCATTACCCCCACGCATACCATCTGAAAGAAGAAGCAGTAGCAGTGCTGCCGCCACCGCCTCCTAATTGGGGGAAGGAGGAGAAACCAGCAATGGTCTTGATTCTGAGCCACCGCTACTCCTGTGGTATATGGGTCAGGCTGAGTCCCATGTCAACCAGGTGCACTTCCCTACAGCCACGCCAAAGGGGGAAAGTGCCGACTACCATAAGGTCCCCTCTGCCTGAAGCTGGTTGGATCTTAGACTGGAGCGGGCTCCTCTTTTTCCCTTAAGAAGGAAGGAAGGGAAGATATGCGGGTTGGGTGGGTGGGGGACAGGATAGGATGAGAATTTGGGAGGGAGCTGCAAAGGGGTGACAGCCCCTGCTGAACTGCTTTGAATTTAATTTTTTTCTCATTAGATGTCCCCGCTTTTCTTTGAACTGAAGATTGGGGTTAAAATGAAGTAAATAAAGCACCCCTTTTCAGTGTCTGCTTCCACCTTAGTTTAGGTCATGTTATCCTTTTTCTATCTACACCAAAGAACAAAAGCAGCTTTCCCTCATCACTCTGTGCCTTATAGCACAGACAATATTATGACCGTCTTTCCAAAACCACAGGAGATCTGAGTCATCTGGGGTGACTGAAATCTTTTTTTTCTTTTAATAGTAGTGCCTTTCCCCCATCCTACTTCAAAACCAAGGGTGTGGTGAGAACAAACACAGCCATTGGGGCATGTGCACACATCAATGAGAGGAAAGGGCTGCGGCTGTCAAAGTCCTATATTTCTTTTATTTCTCAGCTTAGGTTGGGACCCTAACCTGGCATAGCTGTAGAAGAGGGGGCTGTAGCTGCCCTCTCTGCATACGAAGAACAGCAAATTTTTCACCTTGGTGTGTGTCCCAGGACAAAAGCCAGCCTATGTAGCCATGAGCAAGCTGCACAGTCCCAGGGCATCCCCAGAAGGAAATGGTGAACCGTTTCTGAGTATTCTATGTCTAAAAACCTTGGAAAGGGTTAACATAAATCAGATTAGACTTGATAGCAGTCTAATCTGATTTATGTTATGTATGATGATGATGATGATGATGATGATGATGACAACAATGACAACAACATTTTTCTCTCTCCAAGCTTTGGGGTTGTGTTGACTTTCTATCCTAATGCCACAAATTACAGTGATGCCTCGCAAGATGAAAATAATTCGTTCCGCGAGTTGTTTGGTATTGTGAACATTTCATCTTATGAAGCACGGTTTCTTATAGGAATGCATTGAAATTCAATTAATGCATTCCTATTTGTCTTGCAAAGCATGGCCATAGAAAAATTTGTCTTCCGAATCACAAACAAATCGCAAAATGCTTTCCTCTTGCGAGTTTTTCGTTGCGCAAGGCATTCGTCTTGCGAGGCATCACTGTATTATTGAGTATAATATATGTCCATTTCTTTTGTATTTTCTCCTACACCGCAAACCCCCACCAGGACTTTTGTTCGGCCCAATGATGGCACCAACCCTGGGTCTCACAGCTACTTATTTTGCTCACAATGCCCACAGCAGTTGTCACAATGTGAAACTTCGTGTGTATAGAGTAAATGAGAAAAGGGAAGGGTAGAAAAAGCAGCCCTGGAAATGTACATTGTAGTTTAAGATTTGAACAGCAATTTATTTAGTAGCTGCAGGACTATCAGCCAGCTCTCCAGCCAAGTCTGGAAGCAAGGTCATTGTATGATAACACTGCCTAACAAAAGGACTTACTTTAATGGCTGTGGGAAGAATTGAAAGCATATTGAAATAAGTAGGATGTATTTATGTTTTAATGTGTTCCTATGACTAGAGATGCCGTTTGCAATGCCTGTAACTTGAACTTTCTCTGACTACTATACAGTACTCTGGTTTTACAGTACCTTGGTGTACCAGATCCTTTGTTTTACAACCTTTTATTCCTTGAGACTTCGTAAATTTTAGTCACAACAAGATTGTTTATCATTGTACCAGATCCTTTGTTTTAAAACCTTTTATTCCTTGAGGCTTCGCAAATTTTAGTCACAACAAGATTGTTTATCATCATAGCAGTAGCCTGTAATTTCAAGACTCTGGAAAAAAGATTGTTGACAGATTGTGGGGAAGTGTGGACATCTGAGAGAAATATAAATATAGGAAGGTACACACACAGCAACATTCGACTCACCTGCACAAGAAGGCAATACAACACAATATGCATAGTAGATATCAACAACTGTCATGTAGCAGCAATAACAGCAGCAAATGGGGGCAACATAGATTTTCCTCCATAAATTTAAACTTGGCTGGGAGAGCACAGAATAATTTTCATGTGTGTGCTAAAAGGCTGAGTAATATACTCTACTTTCATAGATTTTAAATCTTAACAAGTTTGATATTTTTAGAGATGTATTCCATTGTGCCTTTTTAGGGTAAAAGCTTTTGCATTTTTAGAATGAAAGCTACTGCAATTTTAAAAAATAATTTTAACATGATTTAAGTTCTGCCTACATCTCAAGTTTCATTTTTGAATGTGCTTTTGCTTGCAACCTTTCATAGTTGTAAGAATTTTGGGTAGCAATCACACCTGCACCTTTTCATAAATTGCAAGGATAAATTTATGGGCCAAAAGTTTTCCATAGCTGTAATACTTTATGGATGTTTGCAACTTTTGAATTATTTTTGTGCTTATGGAACATAGAGGAAATGTAGAAAAATAAAGCTTGTAGAATTAGACAAGCTGATGTTGCCTGGCATCATTGCAACAATGAACCTTCATAGGTGAATTTTGATATGATTGGAAATGATTATCTGATTTCATTCCTGAATTAACCCCAGCTGGGATAAATGCTAGATGTGGCAAACACAGGCTTCTGATTCCCACCCACCTCAGAAATCTAAAAAGTTCTGTAGAGCTCTTAGAGAAATATTCAGGTGTCAGACTCCTTCACCTGACATTTTTGGCAAGCCAGCCAGGAGGCCCAGATTATTTATGCACCTAGTTTCTGGGCCTGACACAGTGATTCTCAGCTTTTGATCCTTCACATGTTTTGGACTGCAGTGGCCAATTAATTGCTGACTATTAACAATGCAAGTTGGGCTTTCTAGGATTTAGAACTTCAGAACATGTGCAGAATGAAAGGATGAAAACCACTGCACCAGAATGATGTTCCTGTGGCGGCCACTTGCTCACATTGCTTTATTTTATTTGTTTGTTTATTTATTACTTTGATTTATATACCATCCCATTAGTGCTGAAGTACTTCTCTGGGCAGTTCAAAGACAATTAAAAACAAACGACAGTACAGAAAAGTAAATATAACATAAATAGCAGAAACAGGGTCTAAAAACTGAAACAATGACAAAACCAGTTTTCAAGGAGAAGCAAGACTGGAGCTGAAGCATTCATCCAGAGTTGATGTGAACGGCCTGAATAGTAGTATTTTTAACTGTCTCCTGAATGAATATAGGGAGGGGACCAAATGTAGCTCCTCTGGGAATTGATTCCATAATGTAGGCACCATAGCCGAGAAGGCCCTACCTGTAGTACAGTAGTCCCCAACCTTGGGCCTCCAAATGTTATTGGACTTCAACTCCCAGAAGCCCTGGCCAGCAGAGGTGGTGGTGAAGGCTTCTGGGAGTTGCAGTCCAAGAACATCTGGAGGCCCAAGGTTGGAGACCACTGCTCTAGTAGATGATTTTGGGGCCTCCCTCAGTGTGGCTAAAGGGAGGAGCCTGGCCTGAGAGCATCTGGTTTTATATGTATAACATTTGCCTATAGTGATAAAACTAACTCTACTGGAGAATAATGTAGTCAGGTGATGTGTGGACCTGATTAGTTAGCTGCTCAAGTGTGAACATTTGATTGAGGTTCCATCTTAAATGTCTAGGAAAGATTATGCTTTCATACAGTTCACAGAATCCCCCAGATATCATGGCCAGTCTAACTGGGAGGTTCTGGGAATTGTAGTAAAACAAATTTCTTTTTCCAAAGTCAGGTTCTTGCTTTATTGGATCACCAGGTACTCAGCCACCATAGGTGGCTCACAATTGGAACAGGTGAGTGCCTCAGCCCAATAAAATAGAGAGGGAAAGAGTACTCCCAGTCAGTCCATGAGTTCTATACATCAGTTGTGAGCCCTGCTTGGTCTCTGAGGCTTCAGTCGTTGCCTAAGGATGCAGGCACAGTCATTGCTTCAGTGTTACATCTTTGCTTCTCTCCTCCAGATCTTATAGAAGGAAACCAGCCGGCCCTCTTCATTCTTCACTAGCCAGCCTGCGAGTCACAGAGAGACAGCCAGCAAGACAAGTTATTGCTTGCTGCTAATAAACACAGTCCAGGCAGTGTGTTTGTTATTGCACTGGACATCCAAATGGCAGAGCTGTCGAATAGAGGGCTTGGCTGTTTACAACAGGGCTGCTGAGAAGAGACATAGATGTGAAATGGATTGGAATGCAAATAGTAGAGACAGAGTTAAGCGGGAAGAGGTGAAAACTAATGCCATGTTTCCCCTTTGCCAGGGTCCTGTGCTGGAAGGGAATCTAAGATGAAGTTATGGGATGTGGTGGCTGTCTGCATGGTGCTACTCAACACAATCTCGACCTTTCCTCTTCCCGCTGGTAAGACGCCCCCTCAGAGGGCCCGCTCTATTCTAGAGGAGACAGAAGAGGAACGCAACTCCAACAGGCTGCTGACTTCCTACGCTGGCCAAATGAACTGTAAGAAAATCTCCCCTTTCTTCAATGCCGCTCACTCCTTGTCTTCCTAGTAAGAATGCTTTCTGTCGTCTTAATATTAAGCCCCGATAATCAGCTCAGCTGCAAGGTTTCCAGTTTTTCCAGCCCACAGCAAAGGGAAGGCTAACACAAAAGCTGATCTTGAGTAAGCCTCAACATTGGCTCAGTCCACAGGCCCACGTGTCTAGGACCAGCAGGAGCAGGAAGATTGGCTGGATTCATTCATCATGCAGTTGCCGTCCTATCAGACCAAGGGCCTCTTAATACGTACTGTTATGACCGTAACCTCATTCAGGCATGCAGAACATCTGACCATACTAATTTAATCTGAATGCATGAGGAGGAAGAGAAGGCTTATGCCTCCCACTTTCTTTTTGTTCTCTGGGTGTGGAGAACAACAGATCTGAGTAGGGAAACTCCTCTGCATGTGGAGCCTTGCCTTGGTTTTTCCGAGGTCTCCAACTGTGTGGAGAGACTCTACATTTCACAAACTATTTATTTTCCACAATGTCAATGTCTCCATGCAGAGAACAACAACAAAAGTTGGAAGGGATCGCCTTCTCCCCCTTCCTCGTGGATTCAAATTGCTCTTTTTCTGAACACATGAATAGGATTTGTGTGTTTGATTGGAGTGCAGGCATTCATTCTCATGATTCATTAGCCTTGTTGAAACCTGAGGACTTGAGGAGTGCAATATTAAAGTATACATCAATAAATTTAAGGGGCATGTCTACAGTGCAGATGTAAGGCGATCTAACAGTTCAATCATACATACCAAAAGAACCCTAGCTATACCAAATATTTTCATGCCTTTCTTGAATCAATACATATTTGCATATGGTCACATGGTATTTATAGCACTGAGTCCATTCACATAGCTGTCTGTTCAGTAAGTACATTTCTTGTTATTTGTACTGGTTCTGGAGGCTACACATGCTATCTCATATAAATTGATTAATTTGCCGTCCTTTTTCTGGGGGCCCCACGGTCTTAAAATTTTCTCTTTAAAAATGTTGTAAGTGATATATTACTATTTTCCTGTCACTTCCAACTATTAATCAATGTACAACCTGGTGGTATATATCGCTTCAGTCCTTCCTACTTTCCCTTTTCAATTTTCACTTCCCGATTCCTTTCTCCATTTTCCGTTTTTCTTCCCCCCTTTTCCTTCTCTCCTCCTCCCCTTTTCTCTTCCCTCCTTTATTCATTCATCCCCTTTTCCTTATTCCCCTTCATATCTGTCCCTCTCAGTTCTTGGTTTTCATTTTCCCTTTTGAACAGCATTAGGAGGAGCAAGCAGATTTTTGAAGACTTACAAAGTATTGCAAAGAGCAGGGTTAAAAAAAAGAGAGAGAGAAGACATTAATGTAAAACGCCTTTCTTTCAAAGCAGGAAATGTCCCTTTCTTTGCTCAAGCCCTATTTGCTGTTGCCTTCTTTCCACTCACAAGGGAAGGAAGGAAGTCTGTCTCCTTCCCAGCAATGTGTTCATGTTGTTTTTGTGGTGGTGAGAGCTGTTACTAGCAATTTCCCTTTAAATTTTTATTTTTTAAAAGGGTACAAATGCAGTGACCACAAAGTGGCCACAGTGCCCCCCAAATCCACCCCCTTTGCAAAGTAAATAAATCAACAGCAACGTTCACATATGCTGAAACAATAAGGAATGAAGTGATACATGTACTGATCAGAGTTGTCACCCCTGTATTACTCTGATGTGCTTTGGATTGAATAGAGTTTAGACCTTCTGACTTTGCTAGACCTACCTGGGCTGAAATAGTTTTAACAGGGCTGTTTTTTAAGCTCACAGGTGGTTTAAGTAGTCTGTGGATTTTAGCCATAATGCCAATTACTTTAAAAGTTTGTTGTAAACTGATAATTTTTAAAGGTGTAGTTTTATAAATTGGACTTTCAACAAATTTCTGATGCCTGAGAGCAACAGGTTAGCTGTCCATTAATGTTGCAGCAAAATATTCTTGTCTGCAATCCTCTAATTGTTGGATGGAATTTTCAACCCACAGGCCCTTACTTCAGAGATCAGCCAAAGCTTTCAGTGGGACCTTTTCAAATTAAAAGGCTTACATATTCTATTATTGCCACAAATTCCAATCCTGGGCATGTGTTTTCAGAAATAAATCCTGTTGACTTACTCTCGAGGAACTGTGCATAGGATCACAGCCTGAGAGTACAGTCCAATTCATATTTACTTGAAACTAAATCACTTTTAGGGATATAGGGGGTGCTGCGGGTTAAACCGCCGAGCTACTGAATGGTCAACAGTTGGAATCTACGCAACAGGGTGAGCTCCCATCACTTGTCCCAGCTCCTGCCAACCTGGCAGTTCAAAAATGTGCAGATGTGAGTAGATGAATAGTTTCATGTCTAGCATTTCATGTCTAGTCATGCTGGCCACGTGACCGTGGAAAGTGTCTATGGACAAATACTGGCTCTTTGGCTTACAAAACGGGATGAGCACTGGCCATTAGAGTCAGACACGACTGGACTTAATCGTCAAGGGGAACTTTACTATTAATTTTCTTCAGATTTTTGTGATGGAAGCATGTGTTTGCATGGGTTCTTTTCATTTTCTCTGCTTTGGAATACAATAAGGTTGTTCCTTGATTCCCTCTTCACCTCCCTCAAATATGTGGACACCTCAGGGCTGTAAAAAAAAAAGGTGACACAGCTGGGGCTTTGCCTCAGGCACCAAAATTTAGAGGCATCAAAACCTAGAGGTGAACCTACCGGTGAATGTTACGAAAATAAATGACAATGATGCTACCCACTTGAAAGCATAAATATTATCTTCATTTAGAGGATATTACACTCTCCCCCTTCTTTGTCAAGGAGCAGGGGCTCATAGGTAGGAGGTGGTGCCATTTGTACCTGGTGCCAAATTGCTAGCTACACTTCCATGAGGCGTAATTGTTACTGCACCTGCTAGCTCTACCCCAGTCTCTCCGTGAAGGTCATGCTGGAGCTTCCGATCAGCTGGAAGAGACTTAACACTTATATAATGGTATGTATGTATATGCCCTTTACATGTTCTGTTGAATGCATAGAGATGGGGGAGTGGCTGCATATTTCAGGAATGGGGCCAAAGAAGGCAAGGTCTTTCGTGGTGTGCTTTGGACAGAAGAAGAACCGGAGCAATGTTTTTTTACACCAGCTAAGTGAAGTGATGCAGATCGCACAAGTTGTGCAAAATGATAGCAGGTGCCCTTCTGGTAACCAAAGAAGGCAAGGTCTTTCGTGGTGTTCTTTGGACAACAAAACAAGAACCGGAGCAATTTTTTTTACACAGTGAAGTGATGCAGATCGCACAAGTTTTGCAAAATGATAGCAGGTGCCCTTCTGGTATAGCAACTAGACCAGGGGAGTTGTTTGCATATCTATTTTTTTCAATCAATCAGCCAATTGCTCTGTGCTTGCTGTGTGCTCGCTTTCTTTCTTGAAGGGAACGAACACTAGCTTGATGCACTTTGCACTTTGTGGAAATGGCGGCAATCTTGATGGGAAACATAGTGCACTTTGACTGAATCCTTGTTGAGCAGTTATAAAAACAACGTAACTTTTAGAGGTGAGTTGTTGGAAGGTAAGAAATACCTGTAGACCTTATTTGTTGCACACTGAGTTACATGAGTCAGTATGCAACAAATAATGTTGACAGATTTCTTAACTTACACTGTTTGCATAATTGTGCAACAAGATTTCAGTCCTTGTCCCACTCTTGCTGGTTATAAAAACAACTTTTAGAGGTGAGGTGTTGGAAGGTAAGAAATTCCTGTAGACCTTATTTGTTGCACACTGAATTACATGAGCCAGTATGCAACAAATAATGTTGACAGACATTTCTTAACTTACACTGTTTGCATAATTGTGCAACAAGATTTCAGTCCTTGTCCCACTCTTGCTGGGATTTAAAAAAAAATCTTGAACAGCATGAATATTCCTCAATGGAGTATTTTTTTAAATAAAGTGTAAATCAATGAGAATGAAGAATTTGGCAACTAATTCTTTACAGCCTTAGCTGTAGTCCTATATGCTCCCCATCCAAATGGTCACTGAATATATGAAGGTGAATCATTTGATGGTCCAAGTGTCCTTTTTTGCTTGTGAGGGGCAGTGAAATCAAAAGCAGAACTTGAGAAGGTGAATGATTTGATGGTCCAAGTATCCACTCTGTGTCTTGTTACAGACTGTTGCCACAGCTGGGTACTTAAATTACGAGACAGTTTGGTGGGTTTTTTTTATCATAGGTGGCTCATGACAGGAACAGGTAGCAGAGGGGCACTGGCAGAGTAAGGCTTCCTCTACTTTGTTTCCATGACTCCCTCTTTTACGTGAGCAGATGCCTCGATTTGATGGTCCAAGTATCCACTCTGTGTCTTGTTACAGACTGTTGCCACAGCTGGGTACTTAAATTACGAGACAGTTTGGTGGGTTTTTTTTATCATAGGTGGCTCATGACAGGAACAGGTAGCAGAGGGGCACTGGCAGAGTAAGGCTTCCTCTACTTTGTTTCCATGACTCCCTCTTTTACGTGAGCAGATGCCTCCTTTTTTGCTTGTGGGGGGGCAGTGAAATCAAAAGCAGAACTTGAGAGATGTAACATTTCTGGACTACAGCTCCTGAAATCCCTCAACACTCAAGACCGATGGCCAGTAGCTCATTCTATAAGCTTGTTTGACTTCTTTTGTTGGGAAGTCATATGCTGGCAAGTCAATGTTGACTTACCGAGATGCTTTTCAGGGTTTTCTTTCTGGGTATAGAATATTCAGAAGTGGTTTAGCATTCTCTTCTTCTGGGACTCTGCATTTTGCCAGAGGCCACACGGGCTGACTCTTCTCCAGGAGGCACAATGAGGTATTCAATGCCTGACCTCTAGTTCCATAGCCATATACCCAACTCACCAATCTATCCAGCCAACTTGAAAAAGAAAGGCAAGGTATAAATAGAATGAATTGATTCATGAAATGAATGGCT